ACAGATTACTCTGGGACTTGTGAAGTCCAGTGAGGAGAACGATTGTTTTAGGCTGTTTAACTCTTTTCTTCTCTTAGACTATAGTGGGTTGACCCTGGCTGGGTGCAAAGCACCCACCAAAGCCTCTCTCTCACTCCACAGCTGGACAGGGAAGAGAAAATATAACAAAGGGTTCATGAGTTAAGGACTGGGATAGATCACTCACCAAATAGTGTCATGGGCAAAACAGGCTAGAACTAGAGATATCCATTGAATTTATTGCTAACAAAATCAGAGCAGGATAACGAGAAGTAAAATAAGGCCTTAAAAACAGTTCTAGCTCCTCCCTCAGTGGTGCTGGGAGACAGGGAATGGCTGTTATGGTCAGCTCATCACTGGTTGTTTCTCATGCAGCTCAGGGAGAGAGGAATCCTTCCCCTGCTCCTGCATGGAGTCCCTACATGGGAGACAGTTCTCCATGAACTTCTCCAGCATGGGTCCACCCCATGGGCAACAGTCCTCCCCAGACTGCCACATGGGTCACTCTCCCATGGTCCCTCAAGGGCAGGCTGCTCCAGCAGGGGCTCCTCTCTCCACAGGCCTCCCACAAGGTCACAGCCTCTTCTCAGGCACCCCCCATCCTCCCACTATGATAGCTTGGCCATGCAAACCCAATACACAGACTGGGAATGATGTTCCTTCCAGACCCAATGCATGCTTTCAGACCAGTGAAGCTGCTGTTTCAGACAGCAAAGCTGCTCCTAAAGGAAGACAACCTCTGAATGCTGCTCTTACTGAGCAATGCAAACCAAGTTATTTCTGGGGAAAAGGAGGAACAAGTTTTAAAACTCTGGAAGTCATGCCACTTCACTTAGAAATTAAAGCCTGAAAACCCCCAACATCTCCTCATCCTCAAAGCTAGACTATCAATATCTGTTTTTTGCTTTGGCTTTATTTTCTAAAAGAAGTTATTTCCTTAGTATAACAGATGAATAGATGCAGAATAGATGCAACCTTGAGCTACAGCATTTGTGAGCAGAGCTTCCTTGCTCACAAATAGACCCACCTGACCTTATCTATCCTATGTGGTGAGTACACCTCTTTCTTAACCTCTTATTTACCATCCCTGATGCTGTTACACCCACCTACCTACGCTGGCTCTCTGTTATGTACTTGGCCCCAGGCTTGGGTAGCACTTGGGTAGCAAGTGCTCTCTGGCACTTGTGGCCCAGCTTCCCCCAGGGATGAGGAGGCTGAATACAGCTGCCCAAAGGCTGCAGGGCTGCTTGGAGCCCAGGCTCAGAGACCTGCCTGGCCAGAGGCAGCAATGTGAGTAGCACCACAGCTGTCACACTAGACTTAAAATGAAAATGCTCTTGATGTGACAACTGCAGCAGAAATTACAAGGGGCAAGGTCAGAGGTACTTGTTTGGTACTTGTTTGGTATGGCTGATATTTCTCCCTATCCCAAAGGCAGCATGTTAAAAACCCACAGATTCTCCAACTACTGCTAGGGAAGGGCATTTGTTAAAGAGAAAAGAAACTGACACTGAAAAAGGTCCACTGAGCAGACTGTTTCTTAAGCTTGGCTCCTCCTCTGGCCCAGTCTATTTTTCATTTCTCCATTGTAATACTGGAAATAGAGACTCTGTGTGAAAGTTGCTTATTTGAATCTGTTGCCTTGTGAAAGGGATAAAAAAGCATAAATTAGTTATCATAGTGGCCCATTATGATCACTGATAGAGAAACAGGCTTGGTGGGAGCTATAGAGTTTGGGGCAAGGCTTTATTATGAACTCTAGACTGATCTTTATCTCCACCAGCAAAAACTTTTACAGCTCCTACATCTCACTACTGCACCAGCCTCTCTTTCAAAATGGGGCATCAGGACAGGAACTGGTTGAAATCTGTAGGACAAAGAATGCCAAATTCTGTACCACCCAGTCTGTTTCCCTGCTGTAAACTGCCTGCCCTCCCCCTCTGTCCTACTCATTGTGCTTCTCCCTCCTTCTACACAAGCTTAAAACAATGCCTGGTTCCAGACATGGGAAGGCACGAGGTATGGTGTCCTGCAGGCATGGGTACCACCCCAGGACTGGGATGTGTGCTGTAAATCAGTTCCCCAGGCACTAAGAGCTTGTCAAGCAAGAGAGCAATCCCTTTGTCTGAGGGCCTCTCTCCACTTCTCCCAGCCTGCTACAAGCTGTAAGCAGAAACATCGGGACAACATGCCCACAAGTATTTCAGAAACTGGATATTACAGCAGACAGTTCCATGACCCTCTTTGTTTCAAAGCTGACTCTTTTCAGTGTCACATCTTGGGTACCAAAGTACTGGCAGTGCCAACAGAATGCAGCTGCATTCTCTCACCTATGGGTTGTCCACTTGGGTGAAGAGGGCTGAGTCTTGCCTCTCAGGGTGATAGAAATCCCATTTTTCCTCCTTGTGCAAGCCATGCCATAATGGCAAGAAAAGCCCTGCAGGTTCATCTGAATCCTACTGCCTCTCTCAGACAGGGATAGGGAATAGGGATAGGGAACAAAACTTTGTTCTTCACTGGGAAGATCCTTCCTCTTCCCAGTGTGAAACAGGAGATAGATGGTCCTTTCTATGTCAGGGGAAAAGAGAGCCTTTTCTAAGGAGATCAGGAGGTCTTTGTCACCTTGGGAAGTCCAAGCTCTCTTTTCAATCCACTTGCAAAGACAGATCCTTCTGAGAAGGCCCCAGTTCCCCTCCACTGCTGCCTCAGCCTATAAAAGCTTTCCCATTTAGGGTCTGGGAAATGAGACTGGACTGAAATCTGTAAAGACTTTGGACACTCAAATGTAAGATCCAGGCTGCCCTTATGTAAAACTGGCAGAGGGGAGTGATGGTGACCATGAGAATTGTTAAGATCTCCTAGATGAGCAACAGGGGAGTCCTGGTGGGAAGGAATGGCCCTGGCCCAGAGCCTGGGCAGGGTGTAACCAAGGCAGGACATGACTGTCCAAAAAATTGCTGACTTAGTGAAATATAACACACAAAAAATTGCTTCCAGCTACTTGGTGTCTTCCTAGTGCAGGTGGAGGAGAGTGAGCCAGAAGGACTTTTGGCATGTGAGGGCTTTATGTAGTGAGGGATGAAGGGGTAGGATGGTGCTGAAAGAGGAGAGATCCCACTGGTTGTCTTTGATGTGCTCAAGCTGCCACGTAATAAAACTGTCCAGAATTTCAGGACACAGCCCATGCCTGAGATTACTGTCATGGCTCCTACAAGAAGTGATATAAATCCAGGCACTTAAATGCACATCCTGTGGACTCTTTCTCCTTTGGTGAGGGAAAGAAACATTTATGAAGTGCAGACATCCTCTGCAGCCATGGCCAACCCTGTGTTCAGCTACAGACTTGTGAGTAAACATAGGGCTTAAATGGTTGTTTTTGCATGGAATGATATTTTTACCTTAACTCTGCCCTGGCTGGTGACAGCCCCTGTGCATCCACTCTGCTGGCAGTGAGTAGAGAATTCCTGCAGCCCAGTCAGGAACACTGCCCACCCTCTGGGAGCAACACTGCACCAACTAAAGTTTATGCATCTTTTTTCTCTCTTTGACCTTTGCACAGCATGCAATGTCTGCTTAAACCCTCAATAAACCTGCAGAAATCATAGCTTTCTCACATCACTGCCAGGAATCCTTGTGGCAGGAAGACTTTTGTGCTGACTGGTGACAGAGCTGCTCTGACTGGAGGCAACACCCCACATGGGGAAGTGCTGGGCAGAGGGACTCATCCATTCCACAGAAACATGCCATTATATTTTCTGCTACCTCATTCAGTTGTCACAGCCACACCTTTGCTAAACTGCTCCCTGTTAAGGATGCCAAAGTTCACTGCTGATCATGAGATGCCCTCCTGTCCCCATTATTCTCTCCTCAAATATCAGCTACTGGCTGCTAGGTGCTAGCAAACTTGAAATTCCTGGTAAAAGTCTGGAAGATTTGTTTTGCTGAGTTCAGTCTTCTGAAGTGGTGTGAGACACCACAGGGTAAACTTAACTCCACCTTGATGCTTCTCCTGCTTAATTTGATATATGGATCTGACTGCTTGATCACAGCACAGATTGGAAAACTGAAACTGCTCTAGGGCATTTTCCATTAAATCAGCTGCAGTGCACACAGCCAGACTGTTGAGTATTTAGATTTTTTTTTTAATAAAAGGACTAAAAATGCAGCTAGAGGCATCTTGAAATGCAGGGCATCCCCTGTTAATATCTGTGCTGATGAGAAAAAGAAGGGATTAAATTCTTTTCTGTGTAATGCACGGCTTTCACGTCACCCCTTTCCTCTTCACCTGAATGCCCACAATCTTCAGGGGGGCAACAAGAATAAAAAGCTCTTTCTGCATAGGCAGATCCAATCACCCCCTCCTACAAATCTTAATCCATTGGACACTTGGCAGGGTTTCAACAAAGAGCCATGGGGCCTTCAGTTCCCCCATGCAGAGAATCTGGCCCTGCTGTGACCCTGCCATGAGCTCTGGTCTGCACATTACAGAACTATTTTCTTCCCTTTCCATCCATCTCAAAAGCAAGGATTAAAATTTAAGAGTTTATGAAAAAGAGATTTGATAGTACCAGACATTCAGACAGTCATCAAACCTTGCAGTGAACCAGACTGACAGAATAAATGGAGTGAGGCCTCTGTGGGAGTTTAACTGTAGGTATCTTAAAATAAATGCAATACTGTGGAGAGTAATTTGCTCCAGAATATAATAATTTTCCACTGCTTTCATTACTTGTCTAGAAATTATATTAATTGAATTGAGCACAATTGAAACAGTAGAAATGAATATGTTGAATTGTCCCCTTGTCATTTTTATCATGACCATGGCAAAGCAGCTTTGAGTCAGAACTGTTTTCAAGCATACACAAAATTTAAACATTATAGCCATTCTCCTTTGAGCTCAGTGAATATAAATAAACATTGCAGCTTAAACATATGGCCCATTCCCACTCCTTTTCCCAAGTGAAGCAGGACATTTTTCTTACCTGGGTATGGCACTCTCCCTTTTGTTACCAGCTCTGTCAGCAGGATCCCAAAAGACCACACATCTGACTTTATTGTGAACCTTCCGTACAGTGCCGCTTCTGGGGCAGTCCATTTAATGGGGAATTTTGCACCTAAAGAGAGAACACATGAGGCTTAACCAGAACAGAGACAGAACCAAAGCACCAGGTCACAGGTGACTCTTGTGTTCTGCAACATGTGCAGGTGGAAGGAGCTGCAGACAAGTATTACCCAACAGCTCCATTGAGTACACTCAGAGAGGACAGGTGGGCAGAACGTGTAGGGCATCAGGAAAGACTAAGCAGGGAAAGGGTCAGTCATGTCCCACATCACAAGAGAAGAATAAGACATTTTAACTCAAGTTTGAAGTTTTATAAAATGAAAAAAAATCCCACCCCAGTTTTAAAAACAAACAAGCCAAATATAATAGAAATTACTTCTCCTAAAGTGTTTTAAATATTTGCAAATCAAATACAGTTACTATATAGAAGCAGAACTCAGATATACTGGATATGTACCTCCCAGTTTGCCTGCTCAAGCTGAGCAAAATACAAACAAACAAACATGGCAAAAACAAAAATTCAAAGCAAATCCAATATTTCATTAGAAACACACAAGGACTTTAAAATAATACTGCCATTCGAGTTGCTTGGAGTGCTTGATGTCAAAGCACGACTTTGGCCTGTGATTTATAACTTGACAGTATACTTTAAGCTCCTGGAACTGCAAAGCCTGTAGTGCCTTAAATACGTGCAGCTCTAATGTGCTCATCCATCATCAGAGCTTGCAGGAGCCAGTTGCAGTAAGGATAGTGAGATAACAAACCTTTAAACACTGATTTATTCGCTTTTCCAATCACTGTTTTCTTAGGAAAAATATTTTCAGTATGACTTTAAAGAAAAGTCTTGTGGTAATAATTAACTCATAGTATGTACAAAAAATATGCAGACATTTCCCTGGTGCCCTGTATTAACATACAGGCAAAAGAGTTGCATTGCTTATTGCTGATCCCTAGTGACAAACACTCTTGAATTTGGAAACAGACTGACTTTGACTTCACATCACCCTCTCATAAAAGCTCCCTTTGCTTTCAGGAGGAGCATGAAAGTGTAACAACGTGGACAAATCACTCTCAGGGAGTGACCTTATGGCACTGTTTAGAGTTCCCTGCCAGCACTGTTCCACCGTCACATCCAAGGCTCAATGTCCTGTAACTTCTGCCACACACCCCAATCTGATGTTACTTAGAGTAAAAAGTACACATGGTAATCCTCATCTCCTTACTTAGTAAAACTTCGATGTGCTAAAATCTTTTCTGCTCTGCATGTAAATGATCCTAAGAGAGACTAGTACTCTAGTACAAATACATTTTTTTTCCTAGGGAGTATTGCAGTTGATCAAATAAGTCCTGCTAAATAAAGGGAAAGTGTCCTGCTAAAGGATGAAAAAGATGCAAGAGAAAGTTTCAGATACCTAATGCCTGAAGTCAGGAACTTAAGACTAGTTAAGCATCAGCACATCACTGGCTAGATGTGCAAAGGTGCTGGAGGATTTTGGATGCCTGTTCACTTTTTAAAATCTGTCCCTTATGTATTTTCATTGGTTGATAGGTAGGCAGAACTAAAATTTGGGTGCTTGGCTCAGTCTCAACCTCCTTCACTTACACTTCTTTGTGTGACCAACCTTAGCTTACAAGACTCAAAATTTGCAGAACTTCATTTTTTCCTTTTGCCTTGGCTGTGCTGTGTGAGTCCTTTGCAGCAGAAGCTGCCATCACTTGAGCCTCTCTCCTGGAAGCTGGCCCTGCTCCAGCAGCACCAGCAGCCACATGGGCTTGGCAACTGGCTGCTCCAGCTGCCAGGAGGTCCTGGGGCTGTACAGCCCATGCCAATCCCTGGAAAAACTGCAAGCTGCATGTATCTGTGGTGAGGCTGCCCAGGCCAGCAGTGCATGCCTTTAGATGGGCCTGTGCAGGCAGCCCTGGATGTGAGGGCCGATGTTCCTCTGCTGTCTCCTACGTGCAGCCCAGATAGTACACACACCCCGTGCCAGCTGGATGAAGGAATAGCTCCAGGCTGGCCAGGAGCCTGAAGCTTTGGACCTTGGATGGTGCTGGGTGAGATGGACATGCAGGGGGGGTTTGATTGTTCACATGTTGCACACATTTTATTCAACAATTTTCTTTTTCTTTAATCAGCTGTGTGTGTTTGTCTGAGAAACTTAGCCAAATCTGCTCAATTCCCTTTTGCTTCAAACTCATATCCAAAGGTAGCAACCACCTACAACTCATCTTTGGAGGAAGGAAATCTCTTCAGACTCTTTTGTGGCCAACTCCCCCAGTATTTTTTTCTTCCTCAACCTACTGCCAGTGTTTCACTGGGAGATGAGTATGCAGCATGTTGTCAAACCACAGGAAAATGAGAAGCAAGGTAAGTCCCTGAGAAGGGGGATCAATTCCAGGACATCCCTTTTCCTGAGAGCTAGAGCAGTACCATCCTCACTGGGGTGTGATGAGCACTGCTGGAAAGATGAATGGTCTGTGCTGAGGATCTTCCAATGACAGGACAGCTATTCATTACTTCTCTATGCTGCCCCTGCTGTGGATGACTCTCTGCCTAAAGCAACTAATGCAAAAAATCACGTTCTGCAGTTTGTGCAGCATTTCCTGATAGATGACAGATTTGGAGTGCTAGATGGGGAGGAGAAAAATGCAAGCTTGGCAGAGAGCTTGCTAGCAGAGCCCTGCCTCATGGTTTTCTGGCCCTGCAACACATGTTGGAGGCTAGATGGTTCAAGAGAGTCTGCAGTCCAGTATGGCAGAGGTGTCAGTGAAGGGAGAGCAGAGACCAGGGGGAACACACCAGGCTGGTCACCTGCAGGTACAACACATGCCCTGCCCTCACATAAGGAGATCACACACAGCTTGTGTGAAGGGGGGGGTGTGTGTTTGTCTGACAGGGATCCTCCAAGGTGCTGCCCCTCATTCAATGCCTGGAACTGGAGACAGAGAGACAGTGCACTGCTGTGAAAGCACAAAAATTCCCAAATGTGTTGAGCACTGCCCTGAAGCCTCCTGCTTGCTGTAGCTCCATGGAGTTAGCACAGCCCAGATGCTTGTGTGTGGTTCCTGATGGACACACAGTTTCTGTGCTTAACTCTCTTCCCAACACACTGATTAAAACCCCCAATGCCTCTCTCTGCCCAGGCCTCAGAAGCTTATTAAACAAACTGACTTTGTGCTGCAAACAAATTACAGCATCAGATAAAACGTGTATTACGGACAAGCATGTTAATAAATCTGATAAGACAAATCACCCCAGCTGACAAGGCAGCCCATCTCCTGCTCTGAAGGCAGATTTTGCATCAGTGGGGGAGGGATTTCTCTCTTCTTGTTGCTGGAACCTGTTTTATTACAAACCAGCACATCAGTAACCCCATGCATGGACACAAACAGCAGATTGCATTCATCAGGTCAGGATGACCTGTCTTTGCCCCAAAACAGGCTACTAAGCTGCAGCTTTTATCTCCGTCCCTCTTTTTTTTTAAAAAAACATTACAGGCTGGGGAAAGCCTTTTTTGGTTTTCTGCACTGCTTGTAACCACATGAAACCAAAGCTGCTGATACAATTTATGGTTAGAGCAGCAGCCCCGAGCCTGAGAGGATTTTTGTGAGGCTCAGCCCTATTCTTGGGACCTCTGCCCGACTCTGCCCAGGCATTCACACAGGTTATCTCCCAGGAGGATTTCCCTGGGAAAAATCAATCCCTGGTCCTGTTTTAATTCTTTGCTGGCTTTAAGCGGGTCATGTGATGAGAAGGAGCAGAGGGGGCTGGGATGATTGAGTGACCTTGAGATACAACTCTCAGCATGGTTTCTTCTGAGGCAAGCCAAAATCCCTCAGAGCTTTGGTCTCTTTTCAGATCTAAATCTTGATGAAGTAGAAACCTCTGAAATTCATGCCCCAGAGCCACTGCCAGCTCGATAGTGATCCTGTTTCTGGAAATGCTACAAAGCTGCTACCTCTTGTACCTTAAAACCAAACCCAGTGGAGGACTCCAAGCTCTATGACCCAAAAGCTCGGGGACCGCTCGGGTTAGCAATCAGGGAATGCAGTGTGGAATTGGATTGCTGCTGGGGCTGCAAAGGGAAAGCTGTAAAAGGTAAAAACGGAGTGCTGAAGCAAGCATGAAACAGGAAACGAGTCAGCCCCGGCAGGCGATGATGAGCGCCGTGTGGGAGGGACCGTGCGATCACATTTTTTGTGCTGTGAGAACGAGCGAACGTGGAATGACAAGCCTGGCAAACATCAGCGATGAGGAGCAGGCTCCGCAGGCGGACCCCTCCCAGGAAGCGGCTCTGAACACCCCTCTGGCTCTCTCCTGCAGCCCCCATTCCTTTCCCCTCCTTTCCCCTCCTTTCCCTCGCCCTTCCCCTTGCCCCGGCCGCGCCCCTTCCCTGCCAGGGCAGGGCAGAAGGCGCCTCTGCAGGAGCGGAGCGGGATCCCCCGGACCCGCTGGCTGAGGACCAGGAGCCTTCTCTCCTGGGATGGCTCAGGGAACCGCAGGTAAAGAGCGAGAACAAAGCCCTGGATGCTCCAGCCTGCAGTGCAGTCAGTCACAAACAAACCAGCTCTGATTAGCTGGTGAACAAGTCTCTGCAAAGAGCCTGGAAGGGGAGGGGGGAAAATCCCTACCTATTTCTAGGAAATCAAACTAAGAAGCATCACTTGATTTTAAGAAGGGCAGGAAGGAGTTAATTCTAAGTGTTAAGGAGGCAAAAATGATCTGTGAGTTTACAAACACGTACTAGAGCTCCCAAAATAGCTCTGACTCGTCTGGAAGGCATCAGAAAGATCCTTATTGTTTCATGTGTGCCTAGAGTGGCACTACTGCAAGTGCTGCTGGTGTGTGCAGTAGAAACATGGCCTGGAAAACAACTCTGCACTTTTTATTTATTGAGAAAATTTTAAATTTGTATCAGCTGCTGCTGCTTAATAGTAAAAACTCAAACCCAGTGCCTCTGTGGAGCACTGGCACTCTCCACAAAAATGCCATGTGCTCGGCCAGAACTCCACTTAACTGTGAACCATATCAGTGCAAGGATAGCAGAACTTCGTGGGAAATCCTTTGCTGGGGGTGATGGGAAGTTTGTCCTGTAGGATACCAGAAGTTTTAAATCTTGCCTTACAGGGCTGACACAAGCATCATCACCAATGGAAGGGAGCAACACTCCATGCCTGACACTGTGTGTGGGGAAGATGTTGCAACATCAATAGCCAAAAGAAGCAATGGGACAGGCTGCAATACAGTCCCCCAGTGTAGCCTTTGAAATGGGTGTCACTCCAAACAGGCATGTTTTTCCCCTTTGATTACTCATTTCCTCTAAAAGCAATAGGAGCCAAATGCTCATTACAAGCCAAGAACTCTTTTTTGTATTATTTAATGGCAGTGTATGGCTGCTAGTCACACACTTTAAATCATTAGTGGCATGACCATCTCTTTTCTTCCCGACAATTGCTGAGAAATGGCAGTGCAGACAACGAACTGCTTTTTATTTACCTCTCATAAATCAGGAGCAGTCAGGCCTCCTTTGTTCAAACCCAAAAGAAAATAAACCGGTCAGTAAAACATTACCACCAGTCTAAGTAATACCCACACAGGTCCAGGAATCCTGCACTCTAGCCTGCTGGGGCTCAAAGCATCCCCATCTGTTTCCTTTCAAAATATTTAATCAGAGACAAAAGTGACAGTGGGGGAAGGGAGTAGGAGATCAAGCGAAGCTGGAGAAAACCACCTCTTCCCCATGCCAACAATGAGCTCTGATGGCTGCTGAGAAGAGTGACCAGAGACTTTAATCTTCAGATTTTGCAAGGAAAAACATTTCCTTTCTCCCACAGGAGCTGCCAGTCTGGAGCGCTCCCTGTTCCCCTCCCCTCTGCTGGCCAAGCTTTCCTCCTGTGTCAAAATTCCCACTGAAGCAGTAGTCAGCTAGATAAACACAGCAGTCCCCAGATGCATCCCCTTGGAGGCTGAAGTAATAGGTCATGGGAAACAAGCAGAGGCAACCATTTCCTCCTGATACTGTGGTCTCCAACAAGCATTGCTCAAACTGAAGCTTAACTAAACAAGCCAGAACTGAATTCCAGTTGGAAAAAAAGATCCATTGGTGCATTAGAAACCATTTTTTTCCTGCAATAAATCAAATGTCTTGGGCTCACCCTGGCTTGGAAGCCAGGTTAATTGCAATGAAATGTAAATTGAGTGTGTGCTGCTTGGTCAAAAAAGCATCCCTTCCTACTCCTTAAGGAAGGGTCCTAAGCTAGGATCTTGGGAAGCAGCATGTGGTATCATCAAACCTAGAAAATGCAAATCACAAAGGGACAAAAAATACTAATGAAAGTAGGAAAACCTTTCTACATGATACCTGTGGTTACAGCTCTTTGGGTCTCTCTTTTAAGGAATTCTGTAGCTCTGAGGACTTCAGCCAGACTCGGAGGTCAGGGGAAGGAATTATTGTCCATTGCCGTCAAGTATGGGAAGGATGGATGACTTTCCATACTGGCACAAGGAGATGAAGCCAGGCAAACATGACTCAGATCTCCAGATCATCAGCAATGCATTTTCAAAGCCAAAGTAATTCTCCCTTCCCAGACACTTTTTCCTCAATACAAGTGATTTCTGCCATGAAAAAAGGACAGGAGATACCCACAATGCTCCCTCTCCCTGCCAGTCCTGGTGTTATACTTTTCCCAAAGTTTCTCCACCCCAAATGGAGTGATTTTTATTTAAAAATCCAAACTTCTCCTCTATATCAGTCAGGTAGGTTTTCACAGCTTTTTTAACATGTGAAGGGGGCAAAACTATTCTGAGAGATTTAAACTGGGAGGCAAACAGGTCATCATAGGATTTCCTAGGGATCAGGAGTCTGAAGAGATTTGGCCAGAAGTAGGTCACATATTTGTCTATGAAAACAAATAATTAGTCATGTAAAACTATACATTGGGTGGTTTCCAAAGGTAACAAAAAACATGGCAGCAAACCAGGCAGAAATGGAGATAATATAGGACACTGTTTCAAAGCCATTTTGCAGACTGGACCTGCCTGCCTTGTTCAGGGAAAACTCTTCTTGTTTTACACAGGAGAACAGCAAGCAGGCAGCTTTCTGTCTGCCAGAGCCTCTCCAGACACTCTTATTGCTCTAGAGAGAATGACACAAGACTATTTTTTTCTACCAAGAAGCAATTCCCACCCTCAGGCTGAAATCAATAGTAGTTAAGGCTCTGCATTAGTATCTGTCATGGGTTCCTCAAGGACCTCACTGTCTGACTGTGAAGCAGGAACCTTTCAGGGTGGATGCAGCCTGTGCTCCACACCCCTGTGACTGTGTACTGCAGCTTGAGAGCTGCTGCTGCTCCCAGGCCAGGGCAAGGCATGCTGGAAACTCTCTGGCTCCTTCTGTCAACACTTAGAGAAAAAGTTACAGAAAGAGGTTAGCTGTTTCCTCAGAATTAATGGCAGGGACCATGCTGAAACAGGGACTTCGCTCAAGAGATGAAACTCACAACAGGAAACCCACAAAGAGAGTTTTTGGTGATGTACAACAGGGTATAATGGGATCCTCCCTGGCTTTGGCACTGAAAGGATGGAGTCGTGTTTACCAACACATATTGAGCAAGCACGACCAAAGTACTGCCAGCAGAAAGAGAACAAAACTGTAGCTCTGCAGCTTGGACCAACATCTGACAACTAAGCATGACTTGTAAAGAATAACTAAAAAGAGCCTGTGACATGGCTCAGTTTGAACACACATGCTTTTTAGAAAAAGCTACAAAACTCTTTGACACATTTCTATAGTGTAACAGTGGTGTGAAGGAAGGGAGGAAAGAAAGAGGAAACAGGGCAGAAGGAAGGAAGTGGTGGAAGGAAGGAAGGAAAAGAAAGGAAGGTAGGAAGGTAGGAAGGTAGGAAGGTAGGAAGGAAAGAAAGAAAAGAAAGAAAGAAAGAAAGAAAGAAAGAAAGAAAGAAAGAAAGAAAGAAGAAAGAAAGAAAGAAAGAAAGAAAGAAAGAAAGAAAGAAAGAAAGAAAGAAAGAAAGAAAGAAAGAAAGAAAGAAAGAAAGAAAGAAAGAAAGAAAGAAAGAAAAAAAGAAAATAGAGTGCTTAGAGAAGCAGCTCCGTTGCACAGAGGCACAACTCTTTGATTTGTTTGAAATAAAGAAAGTAAGAATAGTACAGGAGTGATAATAGTGGTTAGTAACTACTAGAAGGCACACTACAAATGAAATACCCTACATACACTTTTCTGGATCACCACATTCAGACTCTCATAACCAGTAAGTAAAATACCCTCTTTGCTATGGCACCATGAAGATCCTGTCTTTGCTGTCATTTCCAGCTGTGTTCTCACTTATCACCTTTGCTTCATTTTGGTTTTCAAAGAAAAGACAACGAAATAAGACATTCTCTTTATGACATGCATTCAGCAGTGAACTTCTGACTAAGAGTTAATGTGAGTTGAAGATTTACTGAAAGCAGCTCTGAAGCACAGGAGAGAGAGCTTTTCAAAACCACATTCTACTCTTTCCCTGCCACAAGAATGACACTCAGTGCTGCATTTACCTTGTCTGGCTGTATATTCATTGTCTTCAATCAGTCTTGCCAACCCAAAGTCAGCAATCTTGCATATTAGGCCGTTGCCCACCAGGATGTTGGCAGAGCGCAGATCTCTGTGTATGTAATTCATCCGCTCGATGTACGCCATGCCCGCAGCCACCTGCCAGCAGCAGCAGAGACAAGCCATGCATTTAAAACAAACTCAGTTCATACATGGGCTATAAAACACCCACACCTCAGTGCTCAGTGCTCTGGAGACAGACCTGGGCTGCCATGTCCACCAAGTTCGGTAACTTCAAAGCTCTTCCTTCTCCATCCTTTAAGAAATCTAGCAAACTCCCTGTGAATGCAGAGTTGACACAATAGAGAGATGTTAGGAAGACAACTCATCTGAATGGAGGTGCAGTAATATGTGCAATATTAAAGACAGCAATGTTTCAAGTTCAAGGGACAGTTTCAAAAAACCCCATGATATCTCCAAGTTCTCCTATTGTACTCGCTTCACTCTTTAAGTTGGCTTGCAGAAGAATGTGCAACTAGTACAATGAGAGTTGCAGGGAAAGGAAACAGGATTGTTTTAAATTTTCCTGACCATTACTGAGAAAGTTGATCTTTCCTAACTTTTCCAGTGCTCTTTAAAACTACATAGCTGCTGCTCTCTAAAGGCTTCAGCTAACTGCAAAGCAGCAGCTCAGCTCCAATCCACACAAATTATGGAAGAAGTCAGATCCTAACTCAATGTGCTCCAAAGGAAAGGTCAGCCCAGAGCCTGGTGAGCCCAAGGGGGATAGCATTGGCAAAGGCTATTTCTCCTTAGAAATTAGTGGTGCTCCTCCCCTAGGTAACCCAGAACTAAATACAGCATGAATCATTAATTTTAGAAGACAAAGAAGAGATGAAATGAAAGCAACTTTAGCAAAAGTTATAAGAACATCACTTTCCTGTGCAAGGGAAAACAAGAAAGTACCCTCTTGCCTTAAAGAAAGAGCCTAGGATGTGTAGCTTCTGTCCTAATCTTGTATCTGAACAGAGAAGTGTAGCAGTCTCCTTTAAATAAGGTCAGAGAATTGGTTTAAAAAATAAAGGAAAAAGAGAGATGATTAAGCGTTTCTCCCTTGATAAATTGTCAGCCTCAAGCACAGATCCAAAGATGTAAAATGTTACAGTACAAACCAGTAAAGTAAGCCAAAATAAACCCCATACTTCAGAAGGGTTTTGAAAAGTCTTTCTTTTTAAAGGGAAAAAGCATATGCTAGTCACTGAGACATATGATTAAAGTGTGAGTTAGTCAGGGCTTGGATGCCTCTGAGGAGGGAGGTGGGCAAGCACCTGCCAGGAAAATAAAAGTCAACTCCAAATAGACTGAAAGAATGCACTTAAAATTTCAGAGTGTATCCTCCAATGTACAATGAAACTTCCCTGTGAGAACTTATGTTTCCTATTTGGTTCATTTGCTTTTCCAAAACAAGCAGATTTTTTTGCTCTGCTCTCAGCACCCTGCTGGAGATCTGATGGAACAAAAAGTTTTCTTTTTCTCATTTTACTACACTGTTACCAGCTAAGTAGCTTAAGGAAGAGACAAGGGGGAAGGGGAAAGTGAAGGAAAAAGAGGAGGGAAAGAATAATATGTGCAAATCATGTATTAAGATGATAATGGGGTGGACTGAAAGGGAAGTGTCATCTGGGAATGAGGTGCAGTGACAAGGTTCAGGATTGGCTAAACAAGGAAACAGAAATCCTAGGCCAACAAGTAAACACTTGAAAGAAGATGTCTTAAGAACTCTCTGATGCCAGGAAAAGCTAGGATCTTGGGAAGCAGCATGGGGTATCATCAAACCTACAAAATGCAAATCACTTATCAGGGAAGTTTGGATGCTGATGCAGTGGGAATCACTTAGCCTGCACCAACTTCTCTTTCCCCCAGCTAGTACAGATTTTCTTTGTGCATTTTGGGCCCAGTTCATAGTGGAATTCATAGCTCTTCTGAAGCCAGAGGTGACTCTAGTTTCCTGTTCCCTCTCTCCTTCCTTGCATGCACCCTGCTGCACCTCCCTCTGCATCCCCAAGGAGAAACAACAAAGAAAAAATATTATCAAGCACAGCAGCTCTGGCTTCACCTTTACTCATGTACTCTGTGACAATATAGATAGGCTCTTCAGATACCACAGCATAAAGTTGGACCAATTTGTCATGTTTTAGCTTCTTCATGATTTGGGCTTCCTCTAAGAAGGATTCTGGAGACATGGTGCCAGGCTTCAGGGTCTTGATAGCCACTTTAGTATTTCCATTCCATGTACCTACAAGCACAGACACTTAGTTAGATTAAATATCTTCTGCTCCTTTTTCTGCCTGATGCCTAATGTAAGCAAGAAAAAAATAGCAAGGACATTTAATATAAAATTTTTTGAAAAAAGTTTGGTTTCCCATGTTGCCTTATCATTATATTCCTCCCACACCTCCTTCATATTTTAGTCTTTTTCTGTTACACTGAAAAATAATACTCCCATTGGCACTGGGGCACAATTGCTGTTGTCCTACTCAGACAGTGTTTCCAGTGATCTCCACAGAAACCTTCTCTGAGTAAGAAACTTGGGACTGCTGAAACCCATCTTCGTGTATTCCCTTGCTAACAAGTAATTGCTCCAGACAACAACACAGCTCCAGTCACAGATTTGGACAACAAAACTGGTTAAGCCAGAATTTCTCATTTGCAACACATTTTAACATTTTGGTTTTGTTCTGAGTCAGATTAAAAAAACAAAACAAAACAAAACAAAACCACAAAAAAACCCCAAAAAAAAACCTCAAACAAAAAACCTCCTGAGAAACAAATCCTGAATTGATTTCAATTTAGAAACACAGGTGTGTTTCCAAACTGAAATGTGTCTTTTTCCTTCCCCTCCTTATCCCCAGGAGCTGCTGACAGAAAATGAGGTGTCCCTGTCCACTTCAGTTTGCTCTTTACTGGTGGTCAGCACTGAAATAGACAAGTTGCATCATTTTTCACCCATCAGCTACCAAGCTTTCTGGAACATCCAAAAGCCTGCACAAGAACCTGAAGAGAAGTGGGGAAGGCTGACTCAGGGCATCGTGCAAAAGGTGGGGCTTCACTTGGGTACTAGAAGAGGACTGGAAAGAAAGAAAACTCAGAAGACCTATTAAGGTAAACAGTGGGGATTTTTTTTTTTTTTTTTGTTTGTTTGTTTTGTTTGTGTTTTGTTGGTTTTTTGTTTTTGTTTTTGGTTTTTTTTTTTTTTTTGTGGGAAGGAAAAGGAAGGACAATTCAAATGGGCAGAAATACCCCTTTCCTACTGCCTTCTGGTTGTCCTTTGCCCAGACTAGCCAGAACCCTGCTCCAGAGTCAGGGCTGACATGGCTCTGAATGTGATCTGTAGATAGGGAGCTGCTGTGTGATAAGGCAGAACAACACTAAATTACTTCAGGAATTAATCACATTAAAAACTACTCCTCTGAACTTAAACATGAGGACAGCAGAAAGCCCACAAAGTATACAAAGGCTGTGTCATGAAAAAAGGTAACTTGTAAAATAACCCCGTTTGTCTTTGTTAAAAGTACGTGAACAATAACAGGGCTCAGCTGCTTCATGGGAACTGGCTGGGCCAAAATAACTTTATCATGAGCTTTTGCAACCTGCCAGAATATAAATGAGCCATAAAATGGGTCTTTTTTGTGCAAATGCTCAGGTCCCAGGTCTACCTTGCCTGGCTGAGGATAGCAGAAGAGCAGTGGAGGAGCTGCTGCTCCTGTGCTGCTCCTCACTTTTAAAGGGCAATCCCAAATGTCTGGCAGGGCTTGAGGCACATATTAGTCAAAAGTGTGCAGTGCAAGTTGGTTTTCATTATGCCTTTATTTCCTTCTGCCAGTTCAGTGCCAGCTGTCACTGAACTGACAGTTCACTCTACTGTCAGTGGAGTAATGCCTTGAGTTACCAGCTCTGCTACGCCAGCACGCTTCAGAAGGACTCCTGAAGCCCTAATTTCTCTCAGTCCTTCAAACCAGAGCTGAAGCAGGACTTTGCTCTAGTGGCTGTCCTGCTTAAGCTGGGAAGGATGTGGTTTTGCCTCTAATTTCAAGCAGGGTGGCCAAAATCTTTTCTGATGGGTGACAGGGAGCATGTTTTGTCTGGAGTCACTGAGGCTCCAGACTGCAGTGTGCCATCAGTCATGGCCACTTTGCAGAGGTACCACAAATTATATGAACTAGGAATAAAACCAGGAATAAAAAAGTGAGTTTCATGGGCACCAGACTGGCATTCATAAAATAGGATCCCACCTTATGTGTTAACAGGATTGTGTACTATCTGTTTAAATAAAAATTCCAGGACTTGTTCTATTACCCTGAAGTGTTTTCAGCAGGTCTGTTTTTAAATACTTTTATTAATTTCTCCAGTTTAAAAAAAGAAAATAAAACAAAAATGCTAACTTATCCTCTCAGCCCTGATTCCAGTTTAAATTCTTATATTTTCTTTTTCTGTTTTAGTATATTTTTCTAATAGAAAAGTAGCATAGACTTCCCTCTGAATTCTCCCCGTATGTAGTTAGTTACTACTTAATGTGTTTTTTATTAATTTTTACTGTGTTCATCTACTCCAATTTGGTAATGCTTCAGGGCTGTAAACATATTTTTTACAATACATTAAGAAACAGAATTTCATAATTGTAATCATAATTTTTGCATTTCTGACAGCTACTTGGTACTGGTACTTGGCACTTTATTTCCCATAGCTGTTTTTTTTTTTTTCTCTTTTGTACATTTGTGCCTTTAACTTGTCATATCTGTTTAAGGTCTATGGCACATGGAGCTGACCACTAAGTATTAACATCAGAAACTTGCGTGTGCATTCAAGATGGAGAACAAGAAGGAGAAACTGCAATTATGTGGAAATGTGAATAGAAATGTAGGCAGCTTTCTTTGCAACAGGTCAACTGCAATTCTGTGAGATTATATAAATTTCTCTATTTCTAGTCTATAAATTCTGTAAATCTCACAGACTTGCTGCTGGACTCCCTGCTGGAGGATCCACTGGTTGTTTTGGCTGTACATATTTTTGTGTCACTGCAACAAAAGGAGTGGTCAAACTGCCTCCTCAAATTTTTGTGAAGAAATAACATATAGTGATTCTTTATTTGAATTGGTAATTTTAGAGTCTATACAGAATGCAATTTGCCATAGAAATTGAGCCACATGTCATGAAATGGCCACTATATTGTGTTTCAATGCTATGGCCATACTAAGATTTATGTATATTGTAAATTGCTGTTGTTTTATACTCATTAAAAGAATGAGGCCCGTGATGGGCAAGTTAAGCTGGCAAGTGTGCAGAAAACAAAGTCAGTGGATTTGGAAAAGGCCAATATTTCTGGACTTCAAAGTGGGGGTTCAGCTGGGCCTGGCAAGTTCTGCCTCTGTTGTCCCTGGTCTCTATATTGAATTACTGGGCTCTGCTGCAGACACAAATTGCAAAGAGACTTGAAGAAGTGGATGCATGGGAAAGCTAGCTTGACAATATCAGCTTGCTGATATTTGCCATTATTTTTAAGCTGGGAGAGTGGATGGAATAATTTTCAGGGTCTGATTCCATCAGTGCTACAACACACAAGGAAAGAAAAATGTCTACTTACCAGATTAATTTCTGGTTAGCCATTCTGCCTTACAGGTTTAGCATCATTCCTATTTTAATACCTAGCAATTGTGTAGTCACCCAAATAAACCCAAGGCAATTAATGAATTTTAATGCCTTAACCTCTCATACCACTGTGTGCAAATGAATGGAAGCTTCCCCATGGATGACTGTGATTATGTTTGATTGTTTCGGGCAATATAAACTAACATTTCACACTATTCTGATCTTTTAGCCTTAAGATCTAGACTTGAAATGTTTATTTCTGCCAAGAGGGCCTTAAAAGATCCATCCAAAGCAAAATATATTCTCTGCCTTACCACGCCACACTTCAGCGAAACACCCCTGACCAAGCTTCTGTTCCAGAAATAATGAATCACGTGCAACTTCCCATGCATCTTTAGCCAATCCAACAGTTTGTGGGGTATTATTCGTAGCAATCACAGTTAAGTTAAAACACAAACCATCAGCTTTCTCTATAGGAGAGGAAATTAATAAAAAAAACACACTTATAATCCAAAATTATGCATGCATTGAGAAAGATGGAAGGTGAGGGTCTCTCAGTGCTGCAATAAAGTTCATTTGCAAACACTGGTTTTTGGATGCTGAAGATAAGGAATTCTTTTGTTAGCCTGCAGTATAAAGCTTTTTGGTATAGCTAAGAGATTACTATGTGAGCCTTGATTTATTATTAAGACAGTGGTAATTTGTCAAAATCAAGACCTTCCAAGGAAACATGGATTTTCAGTTTTCTTTTGCCATCAATTATAGTGAAAGTTGAAGATTAAAGAATTTCAAAGTCAAAGACATGATTCCAAAGACATTTTTCCTAACAGTTTGAGCTTTACTAATTTTTTTTCTCGTGGGTCACAATGTCCTCCTACATTTTCACCTTCCATCTTGTAATCCCCACACAGCGAGCTATTTTAGAGTAATTATTTTGCTCCATACCCATCCATACTTCCCCAAACTGCCCATTTCCCAGTCTCTTGATCAACTGTAGGGATTCTCGTGGAATTTCCCAGACATCTTTGGTTTTGACAGACAGATCAGTAAGCCTTGGCATTCCTTTATGACAGGGGACTACTAAGCGGCAGCAAAGACCTGCAGCTCTCTCTGATGGAGCCAGAAGTGAAGCCAACAGCAAAGGAGAGGAAAGAAAAAAAAGTGTGACATGAAACAATTACAGAAAGCAAAAAAACAATGCTACTCACAACAGCTGTTAGTTGCATACCACAAAGCATCCTGGAAGATTAGGAATTGAACAATGAAACATATTCATTTGAGACGGAACAGGAAATATTTTAGTCTCTGCACAAGCTGAAATGGAAGGTGACCGCCACTGGTTTCTCTTGAAGACTCAGGATTTCCCTCCTCCCACAATGCTGCATTAAGATAACCTCTTGAGTGACTGGTTTACTATGGTACATTATAGCTTTTTAAAAATAATCTGTCAATTACAAGCTGAATTGTTTCTGAACTGAATAAAAGAAACACGGAGAAGATTAATTACTTCTTTTTCTGAAAAATCGCAGCCATGAAAATTTGGTGGACTTTTTGTAGCCTGGGAAAAGATATTTTCCATATTTTGCTCTGTGAAAAGGTGTCTTTGTAGGTGTCATGCAAGTATGACATTCTTTCTAGAGCAAACCTTCATTAGGATATGCAGTACCATGCCTCCAGACCTACCCTGCCTGGATCCTACTGATTATACCTCAGTGTTGCACAGAAATGGCTGCTTCCAGATCTATTTGTTTCTGCATCTGTGCATGGAAAATGTGCCACCCAAATAAGCTGACCACAATAAACTAAAATTTTACATATACCAACTGGTACAGTGAGGTTGGAAATTATCTTCCTTATAGGTGAGTTTTTATACCTCATTTAGCTTGAAGTAGAGTCACCAGAAACAACTAGAAATTCTCCCTGGCAGCACACACCCATCAGAATTTGGGTGGAGAAGACAGCCAGATGTCTAGTATGAATAGCATAAGAATGCAGCAGACAGAATACAAAGAATACAGAAAAAATGCCCCGCAGAGAAGCTGATTTCCCAAGTAAAAATTATGAAAAGTTTTTGAGCAGCAAGCATTTGGGGTAATCTGTTAATAATATTATGAAAAACTAAAGTAAAGGGAAAAACCCCAAAGAGCAAATAATTCAAAACACAAATTTCTGCTTAAAAACTGACCATGCTGAGAAGCATGGCAATCTTCTGTGTAAGAACCAGTTGTCCTATGCAGAGATTTGAGGGGCTTTGAAGTTGCATTTGTTGTACACCAATTGCCAGTGACAACAGGATGTAGTTTTGAGTGGAACAGTGCCTGCCACACTTTATTCACAGGAATAATAAAAAAAAGTTTGGTGGGTGGACACAAATAGTGTGCATAAAGGAAAATGCATATTGTCTTATTTATTTAACATAGTTTAAATGTTAATGCTTTGCACATAGAACAAAATTCCAGTGGGAAAATATATTTAATGTATCTAATACATGCAGACCTTTTGGCCATTGTTTTAGGTGACTGAATTACACAATGCAATTCCTATTTGCTTTATTAGCAATAGTGTGCTGCAAAATGGCACATCTTAGCACTCACTTTGTCACAGGGAATTCATGCTTGGAGATGTGCAAGTCAAATTTGGTAATTCTGTTTGCTTAGAAAAGGGAGAGCTGACAAAACCTTTAGCACAGTAAAGTGTTAGGTTTTAAAAGCTCTGCTGCTGTATCCTGTGAACAGCACTCAAAGACATTTATAACTCTAATGGGAAAGGGATAACAGAAGATGCATTACAACAAGCTAGAGTCATAGATCAAATGACTCTTTAGGGCATCTTACACATACATCAGCTCAGCAGCAAACACTTTTGTTTTAAAATACTTCAGAGTGCCATGTATTATCTGAAAAATTACCTGAGTAATGCTGAACCAGCTGCTGAAGAGTTTCAAATTGTGCCCGAGTTGTGATATAATATCCACCATTGTCAAGTTTACGAATCTTATAATGTTTGACATGATCTCCTTTCATATCATCCCAGTCTCGAATAGACAGGGAATAGGCACCTGTTCCAAGCAAAGGAGAAATAAAAAATTGTAATTAGCTTTTAGTCACAAAGATTTTGGTTTTCTGGTCAGTTGCTACAAAGTGAAAGAGAAATTGCTTCCAAAAAGCTCACTGTATCCTGAAAAAGATTAACACAATGAGATAAGCATCAGAGAAATCCTGGGATGTTCACAGCATGTCCCTTTCACAATGTTCTAGAAAGATACCGGGACTTCTGTGTAAATTAAAACTCACAATTTAACATTTACTGCTTCAGGCTGTTAAATTGACTTTTCCTATTCTAAGTGTCAGGTTACACTGCAAATACTGTCCTTTATGTAAATGCCAGTGGGTGGTAAATATCAAGATTTTCACAGGAAGCTCTGGAGATAATGACTTTATATGTGGGTAGTGTTGTTACCTGGATGGATCCCAAACTTCTTTATAAACAACCAAATAAGCATATTTTGTACACCACAGTCTTTGGACGGTAATACTACACCAAGACTGAGCACCAGTAGATCTGCAAGAACTTCACATTTAACTTCCCAAATCCATGTGGGGCTTTAGAGCTTACTAGTGGGATTCAGATGCCCTAGCACAGGGATTAAGTGCCATGTGAGGTGCCTCAGGACATGCTGCTTGGCAGTTTTCCCACAGGCTGTCACATTTTCCAGCCATGTGGATGCCCTGAAGACATTTGAAATGGCTCTGGATGCTCAGGGCCATGTGAACCTCAGTTGATGGGCTGGATTTAGTTTCAGGTGCAGTGGTGGCAGTCTGCAGGTGGGCTGAGGGTTTGATTTATACACCCATGCATAAGCCCCTGGTGCTATGAGGGTGGCTGAATCCCAGCCCAGTTTCCATGAGAGTTATGGCACTGTGGCATAATGCCAGTGAGGGCACTCAGTGTCTGCAGTCAGGGGCAGCTGAACAGAGTCTCAGCTTCCTGCTGGCTGCAGAAACAGTTCAGCCACCTCCATGGGGACCTGCACCTTCAGGTGACTCACTCTGGGGGACAGTCCTGTTTTACAGCCAGTGACACACGTGTTGGTTGTAAAAAAACCACTTTTTTACAGCGTAACGCAGCATCTGAACAAAAACATGGCCCTTTTCAAAGGCAGCAAAGAAAACAAGTTCTCTCTCATGGCTCAGACAAATATTGTGTTTACTCAAGGGAATTTAGGCATTAAAAGGGAAGAGGAAACTGTCAGCTGCAGAGAGCTCAGGAAGGCCCTCCTTTTGGAGCCTCTGCTGCTTTCACTGGTAACCATGTCAGCTAAGGGCAGACATGGTAACCACCAGCAAACAGTTTTTTGTGACATGAAAGGTGGTCCCGTTGTAAGATGTCTTTCTTGGGTGTATCCTGAGGAAGAAGCCTCCTTGACCACATTAAACAACAACAGGTTACACTGGTGGGTGGCTCATCCCTGAGGGAGATGCAGTGAGCAAAACCCCTCTACCCTGACTCCAAGGACTTCTCAAATTCCCTGTTGTTTGTCCCCTATATAGGAGGAAAAGAGGCAGCACTTAAAACAGATATTCTGGTTTATTCAAATGGGAGGCACCCTTAAAGGAGTGTCAAGGGTTGTTTTATGTATTTTTTTTTAAATTTTATTTTAGTTTCATTTATTTATTTTGGTGGGTTTGGAGCTAAATGATCTTAGAAGTCCCTTCCAAATCCAGCCTTGCTGTGATTCTATGATTTCTAAGCATAGACAAATACTGTTTGTTTAGGACAGTCTTCTGAAGAGGCTCTCCCAGAGTCAGTACATTTGTCTCAACTAGGGGTTCAAAGCTTTTTGGTGATTTGCAAGCACATCTTGTGCATGCTTTGTACCACCACTTTGGGCTGTACATTGTCAGCCTCCTCTCAGAATTTTCCAGGCAGTCTTCTCCACCTCCGCATTTTTGAGTTTTGATCCACTGGCAGCAGCTGTATTTTCTTTAGTCACGCTCCCTGCCTATCTGCTCACTATTTTAGATTCTTTAGGGAAATGTAAACAATCTGTGGTTCCAGGTCTGCAATCAGAGCTGTGTGGGTGGCCCTCAGTGGACCCCCGCTGACCTCAGATCAAGTTGCAGGACTGGAGCTTTAGCTCAAACCTGGACATAAACAAGAACCAAGACGTATTTCATTATTCATTTATTTAGCCTGTTGGTTATCTATACTATTCATTATTCTCTGATGATAAATTTAAATACAAGAGATAGAAGTAATAAAAATTTGGGATAGAAATACGACATTACAATATATCATGCTAATGATTTTTTAAAAAAAGCCAAACAACTAAAACCAGACAGTCTTGAAAGATGGAGATTGAAACCAGGTGAAGGATTATACAGACAAGAGCTGATGAAGCACCTGGGTAGTCAGGCATTGAAAAAATGAAAAGCCAGCTCCATATGATTTATTTTGAAAGTAAGAAGAGAAGGCAACCATGATCAAGGGAAGTTAAATTCATGCTGAAATCATCCATGATGATACTTCTAACAGGATCCTGATTAATTTTATTATTGTTATTATTTAAAGCAGAAGGGACAATTCTAGGTCATAGAACAATTCCTGCCTGAAGCCCACAATGGCTGGTTGGGATAGGGCATTTTGAGAAGACTTACAGCAGAATACATCACTTGAGCCCACCCGATTGATTTTTTTCTCTCTCTTAAACAACAAGCTCTCTGTTTTCTTCTAACAACATACTTGAACACCACAAGGATGAAAAGGGAAATAGGCATTTTTTACAATAAAATATACATGTCTGTTTTTTTCCTATAGCTTTGATGCAAACTCCGCTTGAAGATGTAGAGAGCCTTAAGTTCAAACACAGAGAAATTAAACTTGCTGCTGCAAGTCCATCCATGATGGATTTCTACATTTCCCCAATGCATTTGTGTCTCACAAGAAATTAGAAAAACCCCTGACTTAGCTAAGTAAACAGCACTGCAAAACACATCCCCTATCACTGTATAAAACCTGGGGAAGCCAGACTAAACTGATAATGTGGTTTAGAGAAGTGTTTGTTTTTAGGATCCATGGCTGCATATGAGTGAATTTTTAAACTTGGCACAGAGTGGGATGAAGTCCTGCTCCTCACACACATCAGAGCAACTGTTGGTGAAAAAAAACAGGTGGAGGCTATTTGCAGAAAAAGAGCAAGTTTGAGCCTGTCTTGCTCCTGGTGAGAATGCCTCACTGCTATGGGAAGCATGGTGAAGCTGTGGGGTGACAAGAAACTGTCTGCCTGGAACAACAGCAAGTCAATTCAGATTTTGCATCAAAAACAGTTTTCAGAGTTAGAGGCAGCAAAGGAAGAATCCAGTGACTTCAGGAGGTAATGATGCAAAGCTTACTATTTTAGAGGATTGAATGCAGCATCTGAAGATAGGTCAGGGAGAGAGGAGTGCAAATACTGCTTCTCTCCTTTAAACTCCTTCACTAGCCGTGACATTCTGCATGCTAAACCTAGCTGATAGTGTGCTCTGATCAAAGCACTGGCAAGTCGGTGCTTTAATTATGTGAACCATCATTAGGCTACAGAACTTGTATGGAATTAATTCTAGTGACTTATGCCTCCCACAGCTTTTGTTTTGGATTGTTGGTTAATTGAGAAATAGCCAGGTTTGTTTTTGGTTAGTTGCAAGTTTTCTGCTCAATAGTTGTATGAATTAGAAAGATCTTTTCATACATGTGAAGCTTTTGAAGAAGATGTTGACAGGCTTTGTGAGCAAAACGTAAAAGCAAAAATAGCACCCGCCAAGAAAACTGGAACTCCTCCAATATTTTTAAAGGGAAGGAGGAAAATACACCCTTCCACTTGACTTCAGCAGAATGGATACAGTTGAATACTTTATGAATATATAATTAGAAGTATATTCAAGTGTTTTCCCTGTCAATATGTGAATTTAAAACTGCTGCATTTTTTTTTCTCCTTTTTTTTGTTCCCCCCAAGGATCCAGCATTTCAAAGGATCACACCATGTGGCTTGCACTGCAGATACCATGGGTTGAGCGTGACTTGTACTTTGGTTGCTCTCTACTTTGAACACTCACCCTAAGACCTAGGATATCCAGACATCCAATTCCCTAAGACAAATACATGCAGAAATGATACTTAATCTCTGCCTTCATACCACTGACAACAGTATTTCACACACTCAGCACAATTTTTCCCATATTATCTTCCCATTCCCAGTCAGAATGCCCATCCTACCTTTGGTAGTTTCGCTTTCCCGGATCAAGAAGGTACCTCTGGGGTTTCCAAACGACAGCAGCTGCCTCTCGGCATCCTTTCGGCCCAGCTTGCCAAAGTACCACCTTAGGGAAATACCAGAAATAGTAAGACAAAATGTGATGTAGCAACATTAAATAGTGTCACAAAGCCCAGACACGGAGAGGATTTTGTGTGGAAACTGTGCTTACTCAGATACAGTGGACCATTTTTGTCACACTGTCTCTTTTATCATGCTGGAAAGCCAATGTGACAAACCACACAGTAGATGTTCCCTGTGCTGGGCAGCAGCTCTTTGCATTGAGCCTGTAATCAGCAGGTGCTGAGAATGTTTGGTGTCCTCCAAGAAAGGCCAGACTTGGACAGAGAGAGGCCAAGATGTGGTGGGTGGAGGGTATACACAGGGAAAAAGGCAGAAAACTGTCTCTGCCAAAGAGCAGTATTTGTACAGATGTTGCTATAAATATTTTACTTGTATAGTGATTTACTAGTACTCGATATTTTTGTTGCAGCACAGCTATAAAATCTCAGTAGAAGGGTGAGATTCAACCTTGATGAGATTGTATATGAGGCTTTCAGAGGCTTTTACAGCCTTTTTTCCTTCCTGCAGCAACGTTTTTGTGTTGTTCCACAATCAACCAAGGACAACCTGGAGTACAGACTCCAGTAGTACCTGCTCAGCTCTATAAGCTCCTCCACTGTATCTTTTATACTGGAAATAATGTGAATACACACATCACTCCTTTTCTTTGCATAGATGGGCCCTCATTAGAGCTTTGTGTATGCATTGTGGGCATCCTACCTATCCTAGGATTTGTATTTGTTGATACAACATGTCCTCTTTAATGGACAGTTTGCACACTAATTGACTCAAAATATTTTTACAAGTTGGTTCAGGAAAAGCAAGGACACCTCTTGGTTAAAGCTTGAAATTAGCTGACAGTTGAAAAAAGGAAGCAGACCTGTGTTCCTTTGGGTTTTCTTCCTTTGTTTTGACATTGAAAAAGCACTGAGCTCGTGCTTCTTTTGTTACTAATTACCTAATTATTTATCAGTGCAGTTAAGAACTAAAATAAATATAACGTAAGTCATTTGAAAAATCGCTGCAATCAATCAAAACCAACTCCTCACACTGCCTTCTAACACAGCATTATGGGTCTTTAGAACAGAAAAAGAAAACATACTCCTCTGCTTGGATGGAATCGACTGGAGCCACATAATTACTGGGAATGTAACCAGTTTCTCCTGTTGTCAAGGAACGGGCCTCCCACCAGTCTCCTTCCCTGTGGAAACAGAGGTGAGGAGGAGAAGTGAGAGCAGGACACAGCTGTACAGACAATGATGTGACTTTGTCTTCAGTTCTCAGTCTCAAGGTTGTTTATTGTATGTTATCTATAAAATTCTTTCTCCTGCCCTGCTGAGGTCTGTCCATCAGGACAGTTCCAGGCACACTGCCTGCCCCTGGGGTGGTGTTATGTCTTTATACTTAAAACTACCTATACAATGTTTACAATTACTTTCCAATACCTATCACCTATGTTAGCGAGCTTCTACTCTAAACCAATCTAAAAGTGCCAACATTACAGCAGAAGATGGAGGCCAAGAAGAAGAAGAAAGGCTGGACATGCCCAGATCCCTCCATCTTGCCCCCTGAATCCCCATTCTAAAAATCCCAAAATCTACTTTTTCATCTCATGATAAATTCAGTATTATTCTACTTAATTTGTTGTGGCTTGCAGATCTTCATCTAAGGTTGGTAACTTGCTCCATGGGTTATAACCAAAGCCACAGGCATTTTGGGCTCTGTGCCAGGGCTTCTGAGCCCCCTGGCAGGGGGGCCAGAGAGATGTCTTGGGTCCTGACAACTTTGCTAACAGCACCCAGAACTGCATGGCCGTAAGAGGCTACAGCAACTCATCTCTTTATCACCGGTGTGCTTCCGAGAGAGCTGTTTGCATCTAAACCCCAAAAAATGTATGTATTTCTTTACATCTAGAATTATTGCAGCAGTGATTAGTACTGTAGCCTTTCAGATGCAGCATAATGGCATGAAGAGGCAGAATAGCCCAGTGTAATCAGGTTTGGCTGAATTTGGACTAGAATATTGAAAACTGTATCCATAGCAATTATTCTAATACAGACCCTTGAAAAAGCTTACAGGAAAATTGCCAAATTGAATGCTGTGTTCTGATTTTGGCTGGGAATGAGTTAATTTTCCTCAAAGTAGCTGCTGTGGGACTGTGTTTTGGATTTGTGCTGGACACAGTGCTGCTGGCTGATAACACAGGGATGTTTTCATTCCTGCTGAGCAGCATTCCCACAGTGTCAAGGCCTTTTCAGCCTCCCACCCGAGCAGAGAGGGGGTGGGGGTGTGCAGGGATCTGTGTGAGGGGACACAGCTGGGACAGCTGACTCCAGCTGACCACAGGGGTATTCCATAACATATGGCAGCATGCTCAGCATGTAAAGCTGGGCAAGAAGAAGGACAAGGGGGGAATGTTTGGAGTGATGGCCTTTACTTTCCCCAGGAATGGTTAGGCATGATGGAAGCCTGCTTTCCTGGGGATGGCCTGCCTATGGGAAACCATGAATGAATTCCTTATTTTGCTTGGCTTCTGTGTATGACTTTTGCTTTACCTTTTAAACTGCCTTTATCTCAACCCACGAGATTTCTCACTTTTCCCCTTCTGATTCTCTCCCTGATCCTACCACGGGAGAAGTGAAGCCCCCCACAGGGGCTGTGTGGGGTTGAGTTGTTCTCTGAGGTTAAACCAAAACACAGTGTCACATTCACTGCTAATTTTAAACTTCTATGAGCACAATTAATCTGAAACCCAAAGATATCAAAAAGCCATCTATCAACATGGCATTTTAGATGGCCCTGAAGGATCACACTTCATTGTCTAGATTCCCTCTGCTGGCCACCTGGAGGAGGTAGCACAAGACTAGGCTGTATTTTCAAATACTTACAAAAAGCTCTTTTTCTACAACATTTAAATGTGAAGAGTTTCATGCAGGACAGTCTGAATGCAGCATTCTGTAGGCTTAGCATGAATTTTTGTCTTACTTTGGTGCAGACAGTGGGACATGGTACTGCCTTTCAGAAAATGCACATTGCTGCAGGCTGAGCAGCTTTAAGAGAAGTTTATTTCTCAGCTTTTTGCAGGATGCAATGATTGGGGATTTAGAAACTTCTATTTCATTCTCAGCTCCAGATTAGCCAGTGTTTAACTCCTACCACTACTAATAGGCATTCTCTTTTCTATTTCTGGACTGCTTAGAAACTCTTTCTCAGTTCCCCTCTCTGTAAACCAGAGGCTTGTTCACTAAATAAAACACTTATTATCAAATGTGACTGGAGAATTCAGCCTCTTCTGGAAGCAAACAATTACAGAAAACACAATGTCTAAGCTATTACTGGAAGGAAAGGTTGTGTCAAGGTGAATTCTTTAAATTTTCAACTTCACTTTATTTAACAGTTTAAAGGAGCACAAACTCTATGGAAAACAACTAGAAAACAGCTGTGCTTAGTCAAAAAGGAGACGCTTCCAATTTTACAGTTCAAGAAACATGAAGTGCAAATAGCTTTTGCAGAGGTTGACACTGTTTTAATACACCCTGTGTGCACTAGTATGTCAGGCAAATGGCCCTTTTTGTTTGTGTCTCTAGTACTGCCAGTGAAGTGCTAACCCTTCCCCCATATGCTGCTGTAGAATATTTCTGAGGCATTATGCCACACTGAGCTTGATAAATTGTACCATTCCATCTCCTCCTCACTGTGCAGAGAGTCCACTAGATGGAGGTATTTTGTCGTATCTAGGGAGGAAAAAAGCTCTCCTGTGGATGGTCCCAACGTCAGGAACAACCCCCTCTGCTTTGACAGAGAAGCTTACATCTCTCAAAGCACTGCCAGAAAGGAGGAGGAATGCAGGCTTTTTTCACAGCTCCTAATTTCAGACCTGCAGCTGAGGTAGGAGGCAGCTAGTCAATGGGGCCAGACAGGGTGTGGTGGTGGCAATGCTGGGGATGGCCAGTGCTTTGAAGCCCCAAAGTCAGGCTCTGATATGAACCACTCTGCAGGTGCCTCTTTCACCCAGACTGCCTTTAGTAAAATTTCTGGGTTCAAATCACAGGGATACCCCCTGTATGTCATTTCAGGTGTTGTGCTGAATGTTTACTCCAAAGCACAAATCAAATTTCGGTTGTTGAAAGCTAAAGCAAAATCCAAATCCAAACCTCTCCAAAAATTCCAGACAAACTACTTTTTTGCACATATATGCTTTCTGTTTGCAAGCAGCATTGGCAGGTGCTTAAAAATGGGCTTATTTCATGTAATGGGCTTATTTCATGTGAAGAGAGGAAGCATTCTTACAGAAAAGCAGCTTTCTGGAGATCGGCTGTCAGTACTCCAGAGGTGTGGTTAGGGCCATGTTTATAAGCAAATACACCTAACTACAATGGGAACTGAGCTTCTATGATCCTACAGGAAAATAAATGAATGCCTGGTCTTTTTTCCTTGCTTAGAAACCCTTCTTCCAGGGTGTAATTACCTGCATCAAAATGCATATACTGCAGCCACTGACATGAAAGGGAATCTCTCTGTCTCACCAGCTCCAAGGATGACAGCTCTGTAAGTCCTGGTGAGCACCACCAGATTCCACCAACTGGCATGTACAAGGTATTTATAACGTGTGGAACTTCTTGTTCCAGGTTATGGCATAGTTTGTGCAAGGTTAGGAAAGCACAAGGCAATGTGAACAAAAATGGATCATAGGCTTAAAAAGGGTTTGTTTCCAACCTCTAATTTAGAAGTAGAAAGGTTTTAAACTGCTGCTCCCTCTACAAATTGTAACTGAAGTTTCTGTGCTTTCATCTACATCAAAGCTCTTTGGCTTCATGAAATATTCCACAGAATTACCTGATTTTTAAAAAAAATTCAGTGCACATTGAGCCAATTCCAACCCTGCAGTCGCTATATTAAAATTAACAGGAGCTGCACCAGGGGTGAATTCACCTCATTGTCACATGTTATAAGAAAAAAAGAGAGCACCAATATCACAAAGCCTTTAGAAAGTGACATACTTGGTTGTTAAGCCATTTTTACCTCTACATGATGGCAGTAGTGAACATAACACAGAGCCTGCCACTTTATGCTCTTAGCCAAGAATTACAAGATGTTCAGATATAGGTCAGTAGCACAGTGAGTTTTAGAAGTTATTTTTAAATTGCTAAGGGATTTTTTTTTCTATGGGCAGTTGATAAAATTAATTTTAAGTTGATGATTTCCAGGATGGAAATGTGGTTTTCATGTCAGATGCAGCAGAACCTAGGAAGTTCTGACTGCATCACCTACCTTTAAAAGGACAAAAAATTCTTTTAAATTTGGCACATACATCTTTTGTGAATCAGCTTTTAGTTCATTTCTGTGTAGGGATACTTGCAGCAGATTGGAAAAAAATGTTAGTACATGCCTTGCAGGACCTCTGTAGCTACTGATAAAGTACAGAGCTGGTAGTCTCAGTTCTGAATGTGGGGTTACTGTAAGAGGTAAGCAGTAAATCACACAATCTAACACTTTTTTTAAAGTAAAGCTGCATGTGGTTGAAGTGTTTTTTCCCCAACAATACAGCACTTTGCAAAAGTGCACTAAATGCAAGGATGAGAAAGTAAGCATAGAGTAAGTTCCCTCCATACTTGAATATCCAAAATGAGATTTTACTAATAGCATAAGTAAATGTTATTGTAAACATTGTAAGTTTGAAACTATTAAAAAGTAGATTCCCAAGCCTAAAACTTACGAGCTGTTAAGTATCTGGAATTTTTCTCCTTTGTGAAAACTCAAGTCATCTTCTGTTCTTGCTTCATAGTCATAAAGCGCCACAAAAAGAGTTACACCTAAAGAAAAAGATAAGTGGGTTATACTCCATCACAAAAGACAGGAGGGAAAGGAACCCCAAGAAATGATGTGGATAAGCCACAGGTAAGCTGCTCCAGTTGCTGAGGAGCAAACCAAACTGAACCCTCCAACTTTTGAATGACTCTCATTTCTCTGGTCTTATGCAGCCAGTGGGCACTCCACGTCCTTCACTCTGCACAGTCACAGCATCCCAAGCAGGCAAAGGGGGTTGAAGAGACAGTTTAGACATAGCCATGCCAAGTATTTAACTACTGGAGGTGTCTCAGCCCACACTTTACATTCCCTGGTAGAGGGATGAGGCAGTTAGCCAAATTTGGCATGTACACATAATTTCTCAGCCCCAAATGAACCTGCAAATTAGCAAAGGACCCAGCTCCACCCTACTTCTATTCTTCACACTATTTCATGAAATAACTCTTCCTAAAAGCAACATGCTGAGACAGTCAGGCTTCTGCTGTAGACACATGCCTGACACTAGGAGCACTAAAATAAGATGTTCAAGCTCACCTGTTCCTCCTCTTGTACGCAGCGTCCCTGTGTGAGAGGAGGAGTTGACTCCACCAAACACAGTCAGTCCTTGGCCTCCTGTGGCATGGAAGTTGTTGTAGTTTGGGATTGAAGTCACACCAAAGCTAGGATAGTGCTGAGGAGTGGGATCTGTCCCATAGCGGTAGCCTGAGCTTTGAGTTAAACTGCCATCCCTCTCGTCAGTCAGTTTTGTTGCTTCTTTATCCTTACATTGCACACAGCCCATTATCTAAAATCCTAGGAGAGGAAGGAAAGGATAGGTGCTCATATGATGATGCTCACCAGATGTCCTTCAAATACACATATGATGAGACTCAAATTAAGTTCACTGCTCAAAAGTTAAATACTTTGGGAAAAAAACCAAAAAACTGCAGTGGTTTGAATATAAACAGCAACACGTTGGGAAAAAGCTCACACAAAATCTTCCCCTCAGTTTTCCATTGAGGCCTGGGGAAGGGGATCCTGCCTGCTCTGAGGGTAGTGGCAGATCTTTGTCCAGCCCTGACAAGCAACATTTTGCAGAGAGGGACCAAGAGGATGAAACCCATCTTGCTCACCCTCTGCCAGGAGATGCAACTGGCAGGAGAAGGACTCAGCCAAAAAAGTGCAGCTGGAGGTGTTCAAGACTGCCCTCAGAACACAGAATCAGGCACTTAGCTTGTGGTTCATATTTGACCTTGCCAACTACACTGGAGTGGACTTCACCTAAAGACCAAACCCTTCTCCCATTGCTGGACCTCTGCATGGCAGGCAGAAAAGCAGCCAGAGTGAGCCAAGAATTATTATAGCAGGAAAGTAGGAGGGAGATATCAGAGAGCACAGCTGACAAAAAAAAAAAGGAAGTTCCTTTTCAAGCAATACCAAATTGAAGGCTAAAACCACTGGTAGCAGAAGGTGGGGCTGGCAAAGGCACATGTTAAGAAACTAGAGAAAGTCCCAGAAAAATTAACACGTCAAATGCAGAGCAACTCCAAGTACAGATTCTGCACAGGATGAAACTGAGAGGGTTTCAAAAAATTACAGCTTCAAAAAGGCTGCTCCAAGTGTTTTTAATTCTTGTAACCTCTTGTTCAGCACCCTCATGGGGCACTACCAGCCTGGGTTAAACTCTTTTTACTTTCGAGAGTTTATTTTAGCCTCTCTCTGCATGGAGAGAGACAGAGGGTGATTCACCACAGCTCAGAAGCAGTCCTGCAAGGTTAGTCCTGTTACTTGGTGTTGCCTTTCATCTGCTAGCTCTAACTTTCTCTAATCCATGTGGTGGTGTTACTGAACTCTTTCCTATTGGCCCAAGCTGAACCTAGACACAAAACCTGAGTTTCTGGAGTTGGGTGGGATGAACCTGGGCAATCAGATACTTGTCTGGATGCCTCCTTGATCTGAACCAGTACAGTGACTCTTAGATGCAACCTGGCACACAAACAACATACTGTGAACAGTGGGGCTGGAAGAGAAGTGGCAGAAAAAACCCTAAAAAATTGCTTAATAGACATACTTTTTTCAGAATATATAAATAGACAGGGAGAAAATGCAGAGAATGGAAAAAAAAAATACAGTGAAGTACTATTTGTTTTTTGCCCCACATTTCTTTTCACATTTCAGACCAATATCTGTCACTCTGGGTAAGTAAAAAGACTATGCTTTTTAAAATTTTGTAATTTTTCTGTAGCTGCCAGGCTGGCTATTTTCTGTCCCTTACCCCAACATCAACACAGGAAACTGGTTTTGACAAACTCATGGGATTCAGAAAAAGAATGTTTCACCAGTGCTAATGCTTGAAAAATTATGCAGCAGCTCCCTGTTTTTCTGTGACAGTGCACAGTCTGGATACCTGCTTCCCACATCTCACCTGCCTAATTAAAAAGAAAACCACTTCTGTTGAAGGGTATTTTCTACAGTTTGCAGATACTTCCAGTTATTCTACATGTCAGTTCAGAAAAACAAGCATCATTTTGTTTGCCCAATGTGACACCCATCCACAAGAAGGACTAGAAGGAGGATCTGGGAAAATACAGGCCTGTCAGTCTGCCCTTGGTGCCCAGGAAGGTTATGGAACAGCTCATTGTGAGTGTAATCACAAGGCACACACAGGATCAGGCCCAGCCAGATTTGGTTTAGGACTGGACACAGCCCTCAGTGCCATGGCCTAGTTGACAAGGTAGTGATCAGTCAAAGGCTGGATGCTATGATCTCAGAGGTCTTTTTCAACCTAAATGATTCTGTTTTGCTGTAATTTTATCTTTATTTATTTCCTGGTATTGCTTGCAGTTAGCATAGGTCTGCCCTTTCTTGCACTTAGCCTGACTTAAAATTGCCCCTTTTGCATTTCTTTATTCCCTTCAAGACACCACATTCACTCAGCAGGGCTCCCTCACCAAAATGTTTAAGTCTTTTGGGGAGAACAGAAAAATGGACTCCTGACTCCTCACTTGCTGCATGGCTGGCATGAGCTGGGATCCCCCAAGAAACTAAAGCAACAACTGGTTGAGGGAAAGGGGTTTTCAGCCTGGAGGCTGCAAAATACACTGCTGCTGTTACTGCTGCAGCAGCCATGCTGACCTCCCTCCTCTGCTCGCCCTGGAAGCTGGGCTGGAGCTGGAGGTGCAGAGTATTGTGCATCCCCAGGACCAGCAGTGACACCAGGTGAGCCACAGGGACCACCAGAGGTGCAGAGGTGCCCTGGCCAGCTTCATATCAGCTGAGAAAAACTGCTTGTGGAACCATGACTACTGCTTTTACCATTTCAACAGCAGGACAGTCTGGCTCTGGAGAGCCTTTGTCTGGAGATGTCACTCAGAACTGAGGTTTTCCTGGTTCCTCTCAGAGCCTCTGTGAGCACTGCCAGGGAGTGAAGCAGGACTACACGGAAGGCAAGAGCCCTGTGGAGGGATGGCTCATCTCCCTGCAGAGCCCAGAAGGCTTTGGGCAGGAGGGATGAGTCTGGGATTCTCTACTTGGACCCTGCTACACCTCTGTGCAAGCGTGGCTGTGATGTGCAGAGGGCAAACCATGGGCAGTGAGCAAACGCAGCGTGGGAGATACCCCCAGAGAAATCCCAGCTCAGCAGGCAGGGAGGAGAGGTGCTGAGCACCTGAGCAGGGAAGGGTAAGCCATGAAATCAGCCTGCTTAAAAGCTGCCACATGGGCTTACTCACCTCAAAGCAACTAAGGGATATGCAGGGTTTGCTTTTTAAAGAAGAATTTCACAGCCTTTTTGTTGGCTTGCAGGCTTGCATCCCTGTGAAACTCTATCACCTCCTCCCTTTCCCCTCCTAGCTCTGTTTCTCCTCTTATTTTTTCCCATGTGCTTTCATGAAGAAAGTAGGAAAAAAAATTAAAGAAAAAAAGAGATAGGAAACATGAAATCTGTGAGACCAGTGGGAGGGAAAGTGGTTTTCTTGTTGCTCATTCACAAACATTCAGCTGAGCAGGGAAAAAAAATCCCCACTGAAATCTGGGAATATTTCATGTACAAATTTACAACTGCTGACAAGACAACCCTACATATTTCATTTACACACTGATAAGGAAGAAGTTGAAATGATAAATCAACTGCAAAAAGAAAAAATGCTACAAGTATTTATCCTGGAGAAAGTGAATAAACAAGGGGATGGTATATATATGTACTGATAGTTTAAAAAATGGTTTGGGCTTGTATTACTAGGAGTTATATGTATAGAGAGCCAGTGAATTATGAATGTCTTGGTTTTTGCTTGGTTTTTGCTTGCTTTATCTTTTCACTGGCAATGGCAGCACACAGGGAAGGAGAATTTGATGCAAAGTGAACGACTGACAAAATGGGCTTTTTCTTTCTCTTGTCCCCTCCCACTGTCACAGTGTCTAGACAATCCAAGTATAAAAACTGCTTGATTGCAGCCTCTTGTAAAATGTGACAGAGGGTGTTACATGCACACATCTTTTCAAGCCAAGTCCCTGAAAGTTGTCTGTTCTTGGCTCAAAGAAACAGCATCGTGGGGAGTTGGCTAAATGTGAGAGAATACATGTATGAGTGTACATGCCTAAAGTGATTTCAGCTTACTCAGGGGTTTCATAGACAATAAATATCACCTCCATTCAGCACTGGCCTTTGTGTCAATGAATGGAATCCAAAAACTAATCTCCTTCAGTATCACAGAGCAGGATTTTAATATCCAAAAGCTTCATCTCCCTGCATGTCAGCATTTGGAGCTGTGGAAGGCTGGAATTATTCAGGCAGCTCTGAGATCACCAAACAAAATCTGGAGCTGTTTTACACTAAACTCTCTAGAGATGAGCACACAATGTTGCTCATCCAACATGCTGTGCATCTTAGAGTAAGGGAACAAGTTTTAAATCCATTTCCACTAGGAAAGGCAGCATTTCTCAGATGTGCGAGTTATGGGTTGCACAGCATTATCATAGTCTGACACTGGTAATCCAAGGTAATCCAAGTTAAAAGGTATGTAACTGATCTAATTAAAATGAACCTTTCTAATGCAAGCAAATTGAATTTGGTTATTTTGAAGTTGTGTTTTTGTGGGCAATGTAAAATGTGTTTTTATGAAAACATAAACCCCCTATTTTCATGGGTTTTGAAACTTCCTTAGAGAAAAATGAAAATAAACATTATATTATTTGTTTCCTTTCTTGCCCTTATTACATTTCTTGGACTCCAACATTAACATTGCAAGCAATCCAACATGTGTCTAACCAGAAGAGTAGTTTCCACCCACATTGTGGAAACATTCGTCGACAAGGATGTAAAATTAATTATATCATTATTAATCTTTTATATAGTCAGAGCACCTTAATCACTTTTAGGTAGGATACAGATGAAGGCTAAGGAGATATATTAACATTATTATTATTATTACTGTAAATCATCCTCCTTCGGTTTTTCTTTTTGTTCTTGATACAAAATGGAAGCCAAAACTGAAACACCCAAAAAAGCCAGACATCCACACCATTAACAAAAACAAAAGCTGTCCTCTGCTAGCTAATCAAAACCTAGGAAAAGTCTAAGAGTAGGAGGAAAATTCCTTTTTTTATACTTCTATTTTAAAAGTAAAAGCTCCAACATGTGATATCTGAAAAGCCAAAAGTACTGATTAACCTTTGCTTCTGCAGTAGTAAGCATATGGATGGGGGGAAGAGTGGTGTAAATTCACTCCTTCCGAGCATCAGAAGTTTTCTCATAAGCTTTTGCAACTCACAGCTGAAAGTCTGAATTATGGTACATTTTCAGAACCTTCTTTTTT